AGCCAAGTCCCGGGACCTGTGTGTGCAACGATCCATCATCGCAGAGTCATAGTCGGGGATCGGAGGAGGATGGAAATGGGGGGATCGAGAGTCCAAGGCGGGTGGTGCTGCAGATCGTTGCAGCTGCAAAGAGGCATTTGAAACACAAGAAACGCATTCATTCCCCCAACTTGCCAGTGTTTTTTTGTAACCATTTTTCTCCTTTTTTCCGGCCTGTTGTTGTGTTGTGTTCGCATGTTTTTGGCCATTTGCAGACGGAGACGCAGCCTAGCAGCCTCGCGAGATCTCGCAGTCAAGTCCATGGCCGGCGGTTAAATGTAAATCTCCCCCAACTCTCTGTACCAACGCATTTCGCATCTATTGGTATTTTGATTTATCAATAGACGCGGTTTTTTCTCTCTCCTCCTTTTTTTTCTGTTTGTGTGGCGAAAGCAAAAGTTGAGCCTCGAGTTTGCCGAGTTGAAGCCAAGTTGAGGGAAAGGCTAACTTAAAAAGTTGAACCGTACCGAGAGAGGGGATGGTAATGGAGTAATGGTAATGGGCATTCGGGCTAAGAAGACAGCTGCAGCCAGAGTGCCAGAGCCAGAACATAAATCAAATGAAGGAAGAAATGTACAAGATAAATTTTTAAGCACACTTATTTAACACCTAACAACCTTGTTAGATGCATTTTGATGATGCCCCAGCACCAGCACCACTCAGAGACAAGGTGGAGCACAGAAAAGAGAGGCACTGCGGGAAAAGCTTGGTTTAAATGTGTTGATTATAGTAATTTTAGGTAGAGTTTTTGAGATAATTAGTTTAAAAATTTACAAGAAATTATTACAGTAATATTTTTCATGGCGCCTGAGGAGGGATTTAATCTATTAACCTATAATAATAACTCTAACTATTAAAGCTTTCAAGATTTAACTCTTCAGTCAGAAAGAATGGTCTTAAAATACCAATATAAATCCACTTTTATTTGAAGCAATAGTTTTTTCAAGTGTAAAATAACGCAGCGTAGAGAACAAGTCAGAAATCTATACCGGAAAATTAAAAATTCTTAATAACACGACAAGCGGCGGCACAGCGGTGGTGCAATGATGGTGCACTGGTGGTGCAGCCGTGATGCTGCAGAGCGGGGCAACAACTGTTAGAATTGCTTTTCGGTGTTTGACGATGCACAGCGACAACAAAAGCAACTACAGAGCCAAGAACGGGGTAAATGCAGGAAAAAAGTAAACATAAATAGATCGTTCCCACCTTTCTCTGGTGCTGCACCACTTTCTTGGCGGCATCACATCTGCTCACATATAAATCTTGTGCGCATCTTTTACAGAGAGCGCGAGCGCGCGAAAAAAATAATTTATAAAAATTGCAATAAATATTGAGGGGCCCTGATAAGGCGTCAACATAAATCAGCTGCCATGTTGGAGACCAGAGAGACCACGGACCGGGGCGAGGTGCGAACAAAACCCGTGACTAATCAAGGCAAAAGTGTGAAATCTTCACACGACGCCGAGAATACTCCAGGTGCGCACAAGAGGAGAGACTTTATTACGAAGCCCTGGCTAAATGTCTTTATAAACTAATTCGATTGCTAGCCAAAAAGCGAACAAATTGATTTTTAAGATTTTTAATACAATTTTTAAAAGATTTTCTAAGCTTAAATAAAATCCATTTCTTTGAAAGTAATTCGTATTTATTTAAACTTTTTTAACTCTACTTTCAAACTCTACAATTATCGATTTCTTATATCGATTTATTGATATTTTCTAGCGGTGTTGAGACCGCAACAATTTCACGCTTTCTGCTCGCAACGAACATGGTACGACAACGCCACCGCCCACATTGGCCAACACTTTCTTCGCCTCAATCTCCAGCTTTGAGCTGTGTATTGGGTTTCACACACCGAATTGGCATTGAAATTGGTATTGGCAGGGGATTGATGAGACTTCGATTGAGTCGTGGTGGTGGTGTGTGTTGAGGAGGGGCCGCCGCCGAAAAGTGTTCAAACTGTAAGAAGTAAAGTCGAGCCCGGCACTTGTGAGCACGTAGCCATTTCTCATCAGTATTGCGGCGGGGCAGCTAAATCATCCACATCTGCCGGAAATTGCATAAGAAATATGCAAGCAAGCCGCACGCTGCGATTCGCCAATGGAGTAGTCTCTCAGGCCCAGAGTTTGCCCAGTCTCAAAGTCTCCCAGTCACAAGTCACAGTGTTAGTTTGCCCGCTCTGGTGGGGATGTCTTATCAAAACTGTTCGCTGGCCTCGGCTTCAGTTTGAGCCACTCGCTCCACTCATTCCACACTCACTTTACAGTGCACACCACTCCACTCGGCTCTTGTGATAATCCATGCCAGAGACACGACCGACATTTGGCCAACTTCTATTAGCCAGAACTGTGTGGTGTGACTTCCCTTGGTTAGCTTATGGCCACTGGCACTGAGAGAAAATATTTAAAACCATTTAAATGGTTTGGAATTTAAAGAGAATGTGAAGAAATATTGTTTTAAAATATATTTCCTTCAAAAATTAAGGTTTTCTTCATACTTTTGACTTGCCCAACAATTTTACCTTGAAGCCATATCTATATTTACAGTATACTTCTTTTTGATCTTTCATTTTTCCCAGTGCTCAGGTGTTAATCAAACTGCAACCACGAGAACATCCGCATGGATGCTGCAGAACGTTTCTGTTTCCAGCAATCATCTTCATCCTTTTGTTGTTAACTGCTTTGGTTTGGCCCAACTCCCCTTTCTCCTCTCCCCACTCCCCTTTTCTCAGACTCTCTGTCTCTGCTTGGTTTTTGGTTTTTGTACGTTAAATAAGGTAATTGAATGAAATTACTTTTGACAGCTTATTTGCATACATCAACAGCCGAAGCAGCAGCAGAAGCAGAAGCTGCTTTCGAGTTGGACTTGTAGGACTGAGGCTGGAGTTGGAGGCCTTGTTAGGCCATAATTGGTCATTGAATGCTGCCCCTGCTCCAATCCCTGTGAAACCACCTTTTTGGCATCACCACCTGCAAGGAGAGTGTGAGAAATGCGTGCTGACAAAGATGAATAACTCTGCAAGAGGCACAGCGCTCCAACTCCTCATATATATTGAGGAGATGAAGAGAGTTGAGCAAACGAACTTGAATTGTTCGTGTTTTCCTGTATTTCTTTTTTTTTTTTTTTGGCTGCTGTGGAAGATGTCACTTGGCTTTGGCTTTTAACTTTTGGCTTTGGGGCTGTCTTCGATTTGATTTGCCTTTCACTGGCCGCCTGTTTCTGTTGTTGACACAACCGCAAGCAAGCCCAAAAGGCAGCAGCAGCAGCTGTCCTCTGTTCGCTCTTCAACTTATCAGTGTTAAGATCACACTAAAAATAAAGATCGAGTGCTTTTTGGACTATTTTAAAAATATTATCATAAATTTTGACTAAAAAAAGTTGGAAATATTTGGGAAGAAACCTTTTAGAAAAGATATATTCAGCTTTTTTCCAACAAACTCCTGTTAGAATTTTCTGCAGTGCAGAGTCCTCTCTCCCTGACTTATTCCCTGCCCACGAAAGACTCCCTTCCTGCATATTATCCCTTCGATTCGTGTGGGCGTTGCCTTCATTTAGCACCGCTTCGCGGTGGACCCTCACTCTGCCCACTGAGGGAACAGTTGCACCCAGAACTTCCATGCTGTTGACAGATAAAATTGCCAATCTCTGGACTGACGCGACATCCCATGCCATCGGAGGAGCAGCAAGCAAGCAGCAGCTCCTCCTGTGTTAACTGGCTGGCGACAATTTCACTTGGCCGGGGTTAAACGGGTTTAAACTGCTACCCAACTAAGCTTAATGAAAGTCTTTAGTCGCAGCAACAATCTAAGCAGATCTCCGCCGAGTCTTCAGTTCCCCAGTCCTCCTCCCAGTTTCCTCCACCCATACCCACCAAGACCTCGGACTGTAGCAGCTTACAAAAAGTGTAATTAGCGCTGAAATTTAACGAGAGGAGAGCTAAGGAGCCCTGGACACGTTTCGCTTTAAATGCATATCAGTCTGGTGCGGCCCCTAAGGAAGGGCTGAAAATGCACTGGGAGAAAAAGAGGGATTCTAAAATTACTGAAAATCAATGAAACTTGAAACTAGTTCAAAAAGTAACTGATAAAAGTGCTTAAAGCAGGCTGAAACTCATTCAACTTAGTTTTATCTTTATTTTAAAAAAATTCTTTAATTGCTTTTCTTTCAATTTAACTTTGTAGAAACCCCTCTATTCTCCCAGTGCCCTCTGTCTTTGCTGTTTGACTTTATTCGTTTGTTTTGCATCTTGTCTTGAAAGGAGAAGGAGCGGAAAACTTGCTTCTCTCTTGCTGGCCTCCTCCGCTTTTCCTCCTATTTAAAGTGAAATAATGACAGTTTTAATTGCTGATTTGTGGCTGGTTGTTCGTTGGCGTCAAAATGCGATCGATGCTTGGCTGCCCCCGCTGGTTTACCTATTTATAGGCCAGAGTACACAGCTTCAACTCCATTCCCAGTCCCCAGGTAGCTCCTTTTTCCACCCAACAGAATGCAAATGTCGATTACGCAAAATGCCAACTAATTGGCAAGCATTAAGCAGGGGTCATTGCTCCTGGTTTTCAGCCAATGTGATTCACCTCGAGTTTTTTGGCTCAAATTTAAGTTGACACTCGGCCTGATATGCCACCGCCTCGGGGGAGAACACGGACTCCGACTCCTACTCCAGCTCCGCCGAATACCAGGCATAACAAATTGCCAAATTAAGCCCTGAACAGGGCCCGGAGATAAGCCTGCGGAACGGGAGTCCCGCGAGTCCCAGGCAGCTGCCTGTAAATCAAATTAAAATTTTTGACAACTTCATTTGTACCTGTTGGAATTTGCAATTCATAATAAACGAGAGCTGTGCTTAGCTTTTGGCTGTACAAAATGTTTAATTCTTCTCAATTTTTATGGATATTTAAACTCTTTACCCAAAGTTCCAATCCAACCCAACTAATAATCAAATTTTCTTCTCTATTATTCAGGTCTCTGCTAGCGATCCGGACTGTGGAGTGAATGCCATGGTAAACTATACCCTAGGCGAAGGCTTCAAGCACCTCACCGAGTTCGAGGTGCGATCCGCCTCCGGTGAAATCTGCATTGCCGGCGAACTTGATTTCGAAAGAAGAAGCAGCTACGAATTTCCCGTATTGGCCACGGATCGTGGTGGTCTCAGCACCACAGCCATGATCAAAATGCAATTGACGGATGTCAACGACAATCGTCCCGTGTTTTATCCCCGGGAATACAATGTCTCCCTGAGGGAATCCTCTCAAGCCACATCCCAGGCAGCGGCAGCAAGTACACCCATTGTGGCCGTTGTGGCCACAGATCCGGATTCAGGAAACTTTGGCCAGGTCTCGTACCGAATTGTGGCCGGCAATGATGCTGGCATCTTTCGGATTGACCGCTCCTCCGGGGAGATTTTCGTGGCCCGTCCGGACATGCTGTCGGTTCATACCCAGGCCATGCACATGCTCAATATCTCGGCCACCGATGGCGGCGGCCTAAGGAGCAGAGCGGATGCCGTGGTCTTCCTTAGCATCATTGATGCCATGCAGCGACCACCGATCTTCGAGAAGGCCCGATACAATTACTACGTGAAGGAGGACATTCCGAGGGGCACGGTTGTGGGCTCGGTGATTGCCACGAGTGGAGACACTGGTAAGAATCTTATCCTTTCCTCTCTAACTATAGGTATTTATTGGTTCAGTGAGCTGGAAATCAAAATATGGGTATTTGAGGGGCAGACGGACAAGGAGCAACTAACGGACAAACGGACAACAGGCTGACGGACAGAGAAAAGGCAAATAACTAATAAAAAAAAGCAATAAAGCGGAAGTCTTTGAAAGAAGATACAGTGATTTAATACTTTTGAAATAATTTTGAAATATTATTTTTTAGGGTTTATAACGGACAAAGGACTGACGGACAGATAAAAATATGACATTTTAATACTTTCAAAGAAGATATATAGATTTTATATGCTTAAAATATTCAAAAGGATTTTAAAATAAATTTAGAAACATTTTAAAAAATATTTAAATATACAAAATAAATATAAAACTAAAGAAGAACTTCCCTTTATATGAAGTGGATCCGAAAATCCCTAAAGAAGCCCCTGTAAACACATATAAAATGTGGCACAACATGCAACATTCAAGTTTAAGAGTCTTTTTTTGTATTTTTGGGTCTTTTAACTGAGGCAACAACAAAAGCAAAACACTTCAAACGCAAATTTCGGCAGAAATCTGCACCCATCAACGACGTCCTCGTCATCGAGTTGCGCACGATACAAGGGCCCGTTTTCAGTTCAGACTCGGATCCGAGTCCCCAGTCCCAGTCCCAGACGATCCACGATGGCTATGCAAAATGATTTTGCGCTTTAATTTGCTGCTTTCGCTGTGCACTTCCTTTCAAGCAGAGATCCACTCCTACCTGCCTCATGTGTCAATCGCTGACGAGAGTTGCTCCTGCTCGTCCCCTTCTCCCTGGAGCAGATTCTATTGTTCCTGCAAACTCATTGTCCAAAGGCCTTTGAATGGCCTTTTAATGAGCGGCGAGCTCCTAATTTCGCTTCTCCAAGAGTTCCTTCAACTCCACAAAAAAATAATTGCAGTCCTCTTTCATCATCAGCGAAATGAGAACGTTAACAACCGGAATTCTTTGCTTTTAAACTGAATTTGTGTAGAATTTATATAAGGAAAAGAGGTGGATTGTAATTTTTTAAATAAATAAGATATGATTTAATTAAATTAATGAATAGAAAGGCTAAAAGTGATTAGAATATCTCGTTAAATTTTTAAAATATTTTTTCGTTAACAACTTTTTTATTAAAACCATTTTTTTATCATCTTATTTACAGCCCAACGCAGTCCTGTGAGATACTCCATTTACTCAGGCGACCCTGATGGTTATTTCAGCATCGAAGCCAGCTCGGGAAATATTCGCATTGCCAAACCCCTGGACCATGAGGCCAAGTCCCAGGTCCTACTAAATATCCAAGCCACCCTGGGCGAACCTCCGGTTTATGGACACACTCAGGTTAACATCGAAGTGGAGGATGTCAATGATAATGCTCCGGAATTCGAGACCAGTACGGTGAGGACTTCCGTGCCGGAAAACGCAGAGTTAGGTGCTCCTCTTTACGTTGCTCATGCCCATGATAAAGATTCGGGTAGCAGTGGTCAGGTCACCTATAGTCTGGTCCGGGATTCCGGAAAACAACTTTTTGCTATTGATGCGAGGTCTGGGCACTTGGTTCTATCACAACATTTGGACTATGAGACCTCTCAGAGACATTCCCTGATAGTAACTGCCACGGATGGAGGTGTTCCTTCGCTTTCAACGAACCTGACCATCTTGGTGGATGTTCAGGACGTCAACGATAATCCGCCAGTCTTTGAAAGAGAGGAATATTTCGTCAATGTTTCGGAATCGCGATCGATAAATGCTCAGGTAAGCAGCAGAATAATAAAGTCTAAAGGTATTAGTCTAGATCTGTGAGCTGGAGGCTTTTCTTCTTATTCAAGACCTTAAGAGCCTTATAAAGTTTAACATCCAGTTAAAGCATTTTATTGCCTTGAAATTTCCATTATCCATTCAAAATTCCGGCTGCTAAGGGTGCCTGTTTTTCTGCTGTTGTTTCCTTCTTTTATTGCAAAATAAATCTGTGTAATGCAAACTAAATGCGGCACATAAATTTGATTAACAGCCACTAAAAGTCACGCTTTTGTCAGGCGGCCGTCATATCGCGTTGAAAATATCTCAACACCCAGGAGGAGCTCTAGCTAGCTCCAGCTCCTTCGACTACCGACTACTACTAGCTCCAGAGAGCCACTCCGTCAGCTCCTTCCTACCTTCTCTGCCTTAACTCCCTTCAGCTTCAGCTGCCGTCTCGGCTTTTGCCTGAACTAGTTTTGATCATAAAATCACTTCATATCTTTGGCATCGAAACGAGTTCTCCAGAGGTTTGGCTTGCCAGATACACATACAAGCAGGCACACACCGCCTGGTCCTCCGTCCTCGGTCCCAAATGATTGATGCGATTCCCCCCCTTTGGTTGTGTATTCCTCTAACTCCTCTCCTGGTCTTCCTCTATTTTCCAGATTATTCAGGTTAATGCCAGCGATCTGGACACGGGCAACAATGCCAGGATCACCTATAGAATAGTGGACGCCGGCGTGGACAATGTCACGAATTCCATTAGCAGCTCGGATGTGGCCCAGCACTTTGGCATCTTCCCCAACTCTGGATGGATCTACCTGCGTGCTCCGTTGGATCGGGAGACCAGGGATCGCTACCAACTGACCATACTGGCCACGGATAATGGCACACCCGCTGCCCATGCCAAGACACGGGTCACTGTGCGTGTCCTCGATGCCAATGACAATGATCCCAGGTTCCAGAAATCCAAATACGAGTTCCGCATCGAGGAGAACCTCAGGCGGGGCTCCGTCGTGGGAGTGGTGATGGCCAGTGATCTGGATTTGGGCGAGAATGCGGCCATACGATATAGCCTGCTGCCGGCCAACTCCAGCTTCCAGGTGCATCCCGTCACAGGTGAGTCGCGGCCAGCTTCCTTTTGGCCATAAATTAAGGCCCCGCTCTCTAACAGGGAACAACTCACTCAGTGCGGCTCCTCCGGTGGCGGTGGCAACTGTCAAGCCACCAGCCATGACCCACGGTCATTCATTACTGGCTCCTCAAAGCCACGAAGAAGATCTAGCTTACATCTAGGGCACTGGGAGAAAATGGGGGGGACGATAATCATAAAAAAATATAAATAAAAGAAAGAAAGACTCCTCTTGTACAAAAAATCAAAAGAAAAAACTATTTCAACGAAGAATTGTTTAAGAAAAGATATTATCCTTCTTTATTAGTATTAATTTCCAGATTCTATTCCGAATCTGTAATTTATTTCTCCCTGTGCATCCGCCGGCTTTAGCTGCCGACCATAGATCAAGCGCATGGCAAACCTGTTCCTGCCAAGCGATAAAATGCGATCGCCAAGAGATACCCGAGATCTCGAGCGGTTCGGTCTCCCGATGCCTGACCATTAGTGTTCGGGCAACAACAGTTTTAACGCTGTCAGCTCATCCGTCAATGGAATATCATTGGCCTGACATCCAGAGCCACTGTTGTGTCCGTGTCCAGGTTTTGCCTCATGCGTGTCCGCTCCGGGCAACACAGGGAGAGAGACGACGACGACGACGACGACGACGACACCTCCTCTCGCCTCCTCCTCTCTCGTCTCATTTAAATTAAATATGAAAATCTTTCATGCAGCTAATCCTGGCTGGCAAACTGGTTTCCCTGACACAAATTTCTTTTTGCGGGGCATTCATCATAATAGGCGACCCAGTTAGGCGGCATTATTAACCTTTATTTCCTTTCTCCCATTTCCAGGTGAAATCTCCACCCGGGAGCCACTCGACCGGGAGCTCCGCGAACTCTACGACCTTATGGTGGAGGCCCGGGATCAAGGCGTACCGGTGCGCAGTGCCCGGGTTCCAGTTCGCGTCCATGTGAGCGATGTCAACGACAATGCCCCAGAGATCGCGGATCCGCAGGAGGATGTGGTTAGCGTGCGTGAGGAGCAGCCACCGGGCACGGAGGTGGTGCGAATAAGAGCCATTGATCGGGACTATGGACAGAATGCCTCCATCACCTACTCGATCGTCAAGGGTCGTGACTCCGACGGACACGGCCTGTTCAGCATCGATCCCAGCACGGGAGTGATTCGCACTCGCGTGGTCTTGGATCACGAGGAGCGGAGCATCTACCGCCTGGGAGTGGCGGCCTCGGATGGCGGAAGTCCGCCCAGGGAAACGGTACGGATGCTCCGTGTCGAGGTCTTGGATCTCAACGACAATCGGCCAACATTCACCAGCTCCAGCCTGGTTTTCAGGGTGAGTGCGACGACGACGATGAGATTTATGCTAAGGTCACTTTTGGGATGGGTTTTGGGACTTTAGCTTGGGCTTGGAATAAGGATAGAGCGGTTATTTCCTGGAAAAACTTTTGTCTATTTGACGCTTCTAGTTTTACACGACGACGAACGTTTTTTCCTGCGATCGTGAGCAGCGCGTTTGTCGCCTTTTTTCCTCAAGTCTTTTTTCTTCGTTTTTCTGCCGCCTTTTGTGCCGCGAATGATTTGTAGCCGCAGCTTTAAGCCTCACGTGACAATGGCCAAGAACACGACTCTGCTCCGAGTCCCTTCCTGGGCACCTCCTGCTCCTCCTTCTGCTTCTTCGCCTACTGCAACTCCTCCCCTTTAAAGAGCTCGGAAGCAGATGTCAGAGTGCCACAGACGTGGGAAGTGTCGCGATTTGCATTCAAAGCCCTGAGAGCCGAAATTACACTTGCCAAAAAGCTGGGATGGTAAAGGAAATGCTCTGGAAAATGTACAAGTTGGTACAACTTCCTTTCTTGCAGTGCTTTGAGAGCATCTTTATCCTCTTGCCATTGTCGGCGTGTTCATTGCGCACGCGTAATTGTCACTATGCAGTGTGACAAGTCGCCTCGTTCCACTCGGTCAGGAATGGGGATCTTTGCCGGGCCAGCCTGGGCCAGGCCTATTAAGTGCGATTCGAGACGTCAGTTGAGAGATCAGGAGGTGCAGTCACTCGCCTCGTGCCTCAAGGAAGAACCAACTCGCCAGCCGCCTGCTTAGATTTCGGTTGCTCCTTTTTCCCTTTTGGCTCTTGGGAACCCTTTAACATTTTTATCACGTTCGATTCGCACATGTTTTGCATACTCTTGTCCTCCTCCCGTCTTCCATGGACTCGGACTGCCTCAACCGCTGATGGCTGCGACGCTTTGACATGCATTTAATTGCCTCTCGGAGAGGCACACACCGAGCCCAGAGTCTTGTCAAGGAGCGGGGGACGTGCGTCCCTTAAATCCGCTTCGGCCACAATTAAAATTGACACATTTCGCTGCGTTTCGCTTGGGGTTGGAGTTGGGCTTGAAGCTTGGAGCTGGACCTGGCTTGGTTCTGGTTTCGGTTCCTTTTGATTCCTGCCGCGATCTTGGCTTTTGGCTTTTGTTCTTTTGCGTTGGCGTTGGCCCGCACTGCGGTGATGCCAATTACTCAGCGACGGATTGCCACAAATAAATCCGTTGTAATTAAGCAATTCCCCTTACCACTACTGGCAGCATCAAGCAGCCCACCAAGGCCCCCAAGGGATTTTATTCCCTTTTTCCTTGTTCTTAGTAGAGGAGAGGAGATCCTGCCATAAAAGTGCACAACAAATCATGCGCCATTTTTGTGGCTCTGTGGTCTCTCTCTCTCTGTGCATAATTTGGCCAAAAACCGAAATGAACAAGCCGCAAAGACCGCAGTAGTCGTTAGTTAAACTTGCACTTGGAGAAAATATTACGAAAATTATTTAAAATATTCCAAAAATAGTTTTTAAAGCTTAGAGAAACCCCAAAGGTTTGTGGAACCTCAGAAATTGGTAAAAGTTAATATAAATATAGTTAATTATTATATTTTTCTCACAGTGCCTTGCTCCTTCTAAACCCCCCCTCTTAACCGCCGCCCTTTGGCTCAGTCAACTGCGTAATCTTGGCGGGGCATAAATCTCGTGACTGTCATTTTTGTGTCTCCATTTTGGCGACCCAAACAATATTTGCAATGTTTTTATTTTATGAAAAAAGATACCCAAACTGCAGAAGAGAACCTTTCTTGTTGCTTCTCTTCTTTTTTTGTGTTATTTTGTTTGGAGGGACTTCTCCTTCTGAAACGGTTTTTGCGGTTTTGCATATTAAATTCTTCTTGTGCGCAGAGCTTCTTCTTGTGTCTTCCCAACCGATCCGATCCCATATCCCTCTTCTCCGCTGCTCACACAACATTTTTCTGCAGTGATTTTCGGGGCCGCCAACTTGGTCGGAATGCATAATTTCTTTTTAATGCCATTGGTCGGGGGACTTGGGACCCGAGACTGGACAGGCGGCGGCTCAGACTGGCTTCCTCTCCAGATTCTGGTTCTCCTCCGACTCCTCCTTCTCCTCCTCTTGATCCTAAAAAAAAGGCAAAGACGACCACGGGGTGGGGAAACTGAAATTTTTAAATGTTTGCTGCCTTCGTAATCTTGAAGTATGAATTATTGCTTTAAGATTGGATTTTCAACACTGTTGTTGAGATTAAGATACGCGCCGAACAACAACGATCGCAGGTCCCCCGGTCCCAGGTTGCAGCTCCAAGTAGAGCGACCGCATCCTCATCCCAATTCCCAATTCCCAATTCCATTCTTAATAAGCCACGAAAATAATCTATAATTGGTATTTGTGCAGGTACGCGAGGATGCCGTCGTGGGTCATGTGGTCGGCTCCATCAGTCCCAGCGAGCGTCCGGCGGATGTGATCCGGAACAGCATTGAGGAGGAGGCAGAGTCTGATTCGGAGGAGCTGCGCATCACCTACACACTGAATCCCCTAACCAAGGACCTGATCGAGGGCGCCTTCGATATCGATAGACACACGGGTAACCTGGTGGTGGCCCGTCTCCTGGACCGGGAGCTGCAGTCCGAGTTCCGACTGGAGATTCGAGCTCTGGACACCACGGCCAGCAATAATCCCCAGAGCAGTGCCATTACTGTGAAAATCGAGGTGGCCGATGTCAATGATAATGCTCCTGAGTGGCCCCAGGATCCCATTGATCTGCAGGTGAGCGAGGCCACTCCCCTTGGCACAATTATCCACAACTTTACGGCCACGGATGCGGACACGGGAACGAATGGAGAACTCCAGTACCGCCTGTTGCGCTATTTTCCCCAATTAAACGAGAGCCAGGAGCAGGCAATGCCGCTCTTTGCCCTCGATTCACTCACGGGATCGCTGAGCCTGCAAGCTCCGCTGGATTTTGAGGCTGTGCAGGAATACCTGCTCATTGTCCAGGCCCTGGATCAATCATCGAATATCACAGAGCGACTGCAGACATCGGTAACAGTCAGATTGCGAATCCTGGATGCCAACGACAATGCCCCCCAGTTTGTGTCCCCAAACACGAGTGGCGGCAAGATGGCTTCGCTGTTCATCAGCGATGCCACCAGGATTGGTGAGATTGTGGCCCACATTGTGGCCGTCGACGAGGATTCGGGTGACAATGGACGCATTAATTATGAGATAACCGGCGGCAATGGAGAGGGTCGCTTCCGGATCAATGCCCAAACGGGACTTGTAGAGCTGGTCAAGTCACTGCCACCGGCACCCGAGGATGTGGAGAAAAGTGGCCGCTTTAGCTTGGTCATCAGTGCCCGCGATCATGGACAGCCGGAGCCAAGGAGGAGCACGCTAAACCTGCAGCTGATCGTCCAGGGTAGTCACAATAATCCACCTCGATTCATGCAGGCTGTCTATAGTTCAACCATCTTGGAGAATGTGCCCAGCGGCAGCTTTGTCCTGCAGGTCACCGCAAAGTCCTTTCATGGCGGAGAAAATGGTGAGTAAACTTGATTAACTTTTAAAACTCTTATATTATTTCTGACAAAAGAATCACATAATCTTGACTTTACGTTTTTGTTTCCCTTTTTCTTCCCTAGCCAATCTAAGCTATGAAATCCCCGCCGGCGTTGCCCAAGATCTGTTCCATGTGGACTGGCAGCGTGGCATTATCACCACGCGAGGTCCCTTTGACAGGGAAAAGCAGGCCAGCTATGTCCTGCCCGTCTACGTGAGAGATGCCAACCGGTTGGCCACCTCCTCCTCCCAGTCAGCGGTGAGGAAGCAGCGCTCTTCTGAGAGCAACGGCGAGGGTATCAATGGCCAGCACTTTGATGTGGCCACTGTTTACATCACAATCGGGGATGTTAATGACAATGCACCGGAATTTCGACCTGGATCTTGCTATGGCTTATCTGTTCCCGAGAACAGTGAGCCCGGAGTGATCCACACGGTGGTGGCCAGCGATCTGGACGAAGGTCCCAATGCGGATCTAATTTACAGTATTACAGGTGGGTTGAGAACTCTTAAGAAATATTAAAAAAAAACCCCATATGCTTTATTTACTTTGATTCACAATATTCCCATTGCTTTTTCCCCTCCCCATTCCAGGTGGCAATCTGGGCAACAAGTTTAGCATCGATGCCCGTTCCGGAGAGCTAAGTGCCCGTTCTTTGGATCGGGAACAGCAGTCCCTCTACTCTCTGCAGATCCAAGCCTCTGATCGAGGTCAGCCGCGCAGTCGTCAGGGACACTGCAACATCACCATTTTGGTGGAGGATCAAAACGACAATCCGCCGCGCTTCAAGCTCTCCAAGTACGTGGCCAGTGTCCAGGAGGACGCACCACTCGGCACGAGTGTGATGCAGATCAGTGCCGTGGATGCAGACTTGGGCGTGAATGCCCGACTCGTTTACTCTTTGGCCAATGAAACGCAATGGCAGTTTGCCATCGACAGCGGAAGCGGATTAATCACCACCGTCGGGTAAGTCTTAGCTTAAGGATCTCTGTCCTGGGTATCTCTGGGTCATTGCTTGGCTTGATCTTATCTGTAAGTTGGATCTCAAAAGCAAGGACGCGAGAGAAAAAAAACCATTGCCATAATTTTTGCAACAACTAATGCGGCAGGGAAATCAATGTATCCGCCGCTGAGCTATCTGCTCACATCCTACGCATCCTACACAGCGACAATGTTGCGAATCCGTCTCCTGTCATCTCCTCCTGCTGCACCCTCTGTCTCCTCATGGACCCGACCCTCTTCCCCTCCCACAGAGAGCGTCGCGCACGCATTCCTATAAATAGCTTAAGGTGGAGAGCTGGAACTTGAAATGGAGTCTAAACTCGGTTCCTCAATGAGTTTCTGTCTCTGTCCGCAAACGTGTGTGATCTCTACCTGTGCACAGCGAGAAAAGTGATGTAGGTTTCGTACATTTAAAGGGGAAATTCAAGGAAAAAGCGAAACACCAGCAAAAACTCTATTCGTGTCCCATTTTCACTATTTCCATTAAAATGGAGCCTTTCCTGATCCGAAAGAAGCCTTTAAAATGAAATCTTACAATATAAAAGGTATTATGTTTCACACTACAATTTCTTTCTCTGTAAATTCTTTTCTCTTGGAGGCCCCCTCTGGTGCAAATTTATGCTTATTGACAATCAATGATGACAACAATTGCTTGTTCCGTCTGACATAGCTCTTGCTCAGTTCCGGCCAGGCCAAGATCACTACTTGGCGGGATGGTGGAGGGACAGAGAGTCATCCAGATATTCTTGGGGCAGGGAGCACACCGGCACTCGAAATGACAGTAGCGTCAGTGTTGCCATTTATACAAACGCGATCCGCTGTCATGTACCAATTTTTATCTTTCGCTGATTGTCGGCAAACAATAAAAACGAAATCCCCGCCACCGCCACTGCCGTTGCTGCAGTGCCGCCAAAAAAAAAAAGCACAAAATGAAAATAAAAGAATAGGGATCTGGAGGAGCTATAGCTGGAGGAGGAGGAGGACGAGGGCCGCATGCAGTTGGTACAGAATTGTAGAGCAGACAGACGGACAGAGACAATTCGTGACGTTGTTGTTAGTCTTGGACTTGCACTTGGACTCGGATTGGAACTCGGGATTGGGACTTGGTCTTGCTCGTGGATTTGCTCTTGGACTTGGAGCAGTCACAGAAAAAAAACAAAAACAAAAGCGGTGAAAAAAAGAGACAAAAATGTGCCTGCCGCTTGTCCAGGCCAAGATGTTGCTAGTTTTCTTTGCGATTTTTTTTCCTCTGTTTTCTGACTGACTGACTGACGATGGACAAGCTAGCAGCAGTCAAGAGCTTAGGGCTAGGCGGCATTACACTGAGAGAAATGGATGTTAAAGGAGGTATAGTTGAGATAATTGGTTTTTTATATATAATTTCCTTCAATTAGATTATATAGAAAAGGTTTAAGGCTTCCTATTTTTTAGTTTGTTGATTTCGAGTTTTCTAGCTCACTGTTTTCTGCTCAGTGCATGATCAGTCTAGGCCCAATCTCCGTCCGACTTGGCTTGTTCGCCAACTCCTTACCACTGCCACCATTCCAACTCTCCAAGTCCACGTCCAATGATCAGCAACAACAACAGCAGCAGCGGCAGCAACCTCAACTGATGACTGACCCTTAAAAGCATTTCTGCTGTTGTTTCGCATTCACAGTCTTAAGGGGAATAAGGAGGAGCAAAGGAGGAGGAATACACCACTCCACTCCTCAGTTTGACTGATTCAATTCATAAAATGGCCCTCTGTGCTCACGGGATGAGCTTGTAATTTGCTAAATTCGTTTTATTGGCCAACATGCAAGCGCGGAATGGCATGGCGATGGAATGGCGGCGACTGCCAGCCTTCTGCCTTCTGCCTGCGAAGGATTGTAATCATTTTGGTTTATTATTTGTGGCAGCAAACATGTTCCAGAGGAGCGTGATAGCGCGATAGTAAGGCAGTCCAACTGCCGGGATTAGTTTCTTGGATCAGAGCAAGACGAGAAGTAGCTGAGGCCTCGGATCAAGTTAGCTCAAGCCCCAAAGAATGCTAATGCGAGTGTGCATCTCCAGTGGGAAGAGCACAAACAAATGACTTAATTACCACTCCAGACCCCCATACTAAAGTGCACTGTGGCAAAATAGGGTTAAAGATTAAATGTTGTAAATATAAAATATAGATATAGTAAACAAATACTTTGAAATAACAATAAATTCTTTAGCAGAAGAGAACACTAAAATAACCTGACAGTTTCCCCAGTTTTCAACACAACTGTGCCTACTTTTTCTCTCTGTGCATATCGTCTTCCTTGGTTCCTGCCTAGAAGATCCATTGCGAATCATTTCGTGTGGCTAATTGTCGGTGGGATTACGATTATATATATGTATATATAGAGGAGCAGAGCTGGGGAGCAGCTCCCAGAGATACCTAATTAGTGTCGCAAGCGGCGCCCATCGCCGACTGATCGTGTTCAAGCCATTAATTGAATCGTTTCCCCTTGGCTTTCCCCCCTTGGTTTCTCCTTGCAGCAAACTGGATCGCGAGCTGCAGGCAAGCTACAGCTTCATGGTTTTGGCCACGGACGGAGGACGCTACGAGGTGAGATCGGCTTCGGTTTCGGTGCAGATCAACGTACTGGACGTGAATGACAATAGGCCCGTGTTCGAGAGATATCCGTACATTGGCCAGGTTCCGGCTCTCATCCAGCCGGGACAGACTTTGCTCAAGGTGCAGGCCCACGATGCCGATCTGGGTGGAAACGGTGAGGTGATCTACTCCCTCAAAGCGGAGAATTCTGCAGTTAGCGGCAAGTTCCGCATAAATCCCAGCACGGGTGCTCTAAGTGCCTCGCAGAGTTTGGCCAGCGAGTCCGGCAAGTTGCTGCAATTGGAGGTGTTGGCCAGGGACAAGGGAAATCCACCGCAATCCAGTCTGGGTCTCATCGAACTCCTGGTTGGGGAGGCTCCTCCAGGAGCGCCCGTGCTGCACTTTCAAAACGAAACCTACAGAGTCAAGGTCAAGGAGAATTCCCCGTCGGGTACAAAGATTATCCAAGTTGTGGCCCTTCGAAGCGACGGTCGTCGGCAGAGGGTTCAATTCTCCTTCGGAGCTGGCAACGAAGATGATATATTCTCCCTGGATTCGATCTCCGGAGAGATCAGGGTGAACAAGCCGCATCTACTGGATTTTGATCGCTTTGCCACGCCCTCCATGTCAGCTCTAAATAAAGGCAGAGCCCTGCACTACGAAGAGGAATTGCAGGAGACATCAGAGGAGGATTCCAGCAACACCACCCGCTCCCAACGTGCCTTGACATCCACATCCTTCGACCTGACCAACAGCCAACCCAATGAGATGCATGTGGTAATCGTGGCTCGCAGCACGGATGCCCCATTCCTTACCACCTACTCGGAGCTGGTGATTGAATTGGAGGACGAAAACGACAACAGTCCACAGTTTTCGCAAAAGCAGTTTGTGGCCACCGTTTCCGAGGGCAACAGCAAGGGTACCTTTGTGGCCCAAGTGCAGGCCTTTGATTCGGATGCAGGATCCAATGCCAGGTTGAGATATCACATCGTTGATGGCAACCACGACAATGCCTTTGTCATTGAGCCAGCTTTCAGTGGCATAGTAAAGACGAACATCGTCTTGGATCGCGAGATTCGTGATGTCTACAACCTCAAGGTTATCGCCACGGATGAGGGAGTGCCCCAGATGACGGGCACGGCAACCATAAGGGTGCAGATTGTCGATGTAAATGATAATCAACCCACCTTTCCGCCCAACAATCTCGTCACTGTCAGTGAAGGTGAGTGAATATTGAAAAAAATATTTTTAAATAAAATAAAATGTTCCTGAACTATTTATATATTATATAATATTATTATATATATTCCCAAGTTAATATATTCCCTTCCCCATTTGTTCTTATTTATTCTACTTAAATCAGGCACTGAACTGGGCGCCGTGATAACCTCCATTTCCGCCAACGATGTGGACACATATCCCGCTCTGACCTACCGACTTGGTAGGGAATCCCCCCTGGACACCGAGAACTTGTCCATCTTCGCCTTGGATCGCTACAGTGGAAAGCTGGTCCTAAAACGTAAATTGGACTATGAACTACAGCAGGAATACGAGGTCGAGGTGATTGCTTCAGATGCTGCCCATGAAGCTCGCACTATTCTGACTGTTCGGGTGAACGATGAAAACGATAATGCACCCATATTCCTGGCCCAAAAACCGCCCGCCTACTTTGCAATTTTGCCAGCTTTGTCCGACATTGGTGACAGTCTTTCCATGGACATTGAACTGCTCACAGTGAATGCCACAGACGCGGATGCCGAGGGCAGTAACTCCCGTGTTCAGTACTCGATTGAGCCACCGCTGGAAGGCTTCTCTGTGCATCCAGAAAGTGGTGTGGTTTCCGTTAACATGAGCAGATTGCAGCCAGCAGCAATGTCCCCGAGCGGAGATTACTTTGTGAGAATCTCAGCCAAGGATGGCGGCAAGCCAGCGATGGAGGGTTCCACTCTACTGCGAGTTCAGGCCAGTGACAGTGGCTCAGGGCGGTCTCAGTTCCAGCAGACGCAATATAGGGCACAAATCAGCGAGGCGGCGGCACTGGGTTCGATTGTACTCCAGTTGGGACAAGATGTCCAGGATCAGGCCTTTGTCATAGTGTCTGGAAACGAGGAGGGTGCTTTCGAGCTGCTTCAATCCAAGGCTATTGTCCTGGTTAAGCCTTTGGACAGGGAACGCAATGATCTGTACAAGCTCCGCCTGGTTTTAAGTCATCCTCATGGCTCGGCGACACCTTCTTCAAGCCCCAACTCCACTTCTGGAATCTCTGTGATAATTACCATTCTCGATGCCAACGACAACTATCCCATTTTCGACCGAAGTGCCAAGTACGAGGCGGAGATCAGTGAACTAGCTCCCCTGAGGTACTCCATAGCCAAGTTACAGGCACTCGATGCTGACCAGGAGAATACCCCCAACTCCGAAGTGGTGTACGACATCACCTCGGGCAATGATGAGCACATGTTCACCATAGATCTTGTGACGGGTGTACTCTTTGTGAACAATAGGCTGGACTACGACAGCGGTGCCAAGAGCTACGAGCTCATTCTCCGAGCCTGCGATAGTCACCACCCGAGGCCTCTGTGCAGCCTCCAGCCCTTCCGTTTGGAACTCCACGACGAGAATGACAACGAACCCAAGTTCCCGCTCTCCGAGTACGTTCACTTTCTGGCGGAGAATGAACCAGTCGGTAGCTCCGTTTTCCGGGCGCATGCCAGTGATCTGGACAAGGGACCCTTCGGACAGCTCAACTACAGCATTGCTCCAGCTCCCAGCGATGACAGTTCGTGGAAGCTCTTCCGCGTGGATGCGGAAACGGGTGTGGTCACATCCGCCTCCGTTTTCGACTACGAACAGCGGCAGCGCTACGACCTGGAACTCCAGGCCTCCGACATGGGCGGTAAACGCGCACGTGTGGCAGTGCGAGTGGAGATCGAGTCTAGGGATGAGTTTACCCCACAGTTTACGGAGCGCACCTACAGGTTTGTCCTGCCAGCGGCGGTGGCTCTGCCCCAGGGCTTCGTAGTGGGTCAAGTCACGGCTACGGATGGCGATAGTGGTCCGGATGGCAGGGTGGTTTACCAGCTGAGTGCCCCGCACTCGCACTTCAAGGTGAACCGCAGCAGTGGAGCTGTGCTGATCAAGAGGAAGCTGAAACTGGACGGTGATGGAGATGGTGGCAACCTGTACACGGATGGTCGCGACATCAGTTTGGTAATCTCAGCCTCGTCGGGACGTCACAACTCCCTCTCCAGCATGGCTGTGGTGGAGATTGCTTTGGATCCTTTGGCGCATCCGGGCACAAATCTGGCCAGTGCTGGTGGTGCCGCAGCTGGCGGCTCTATGGGCGATTGGGCCATTGGAATTGTTGTGGCCTTTCTCCTTATCCTCTGTGCTGCCGCCGGCATCTTTCTGTTCATCCACATGAGGAGTCGGAAGCCGAGGAATGTGGTGAAGCCCCATCTCAGCACAGAGACGGTGGGCGTGGGCAATTCCAATAGCTATGTGGATCCCAGCGCCTTTGATACGATTCCCATACGAGGAGGCATCACTGGCGGTGCAGCGGGAGCAGCTTCTGGCCAGTTTGCTCCTCCAAAGTACGACGAGATTCCTCCCTTTGGTCCTCATGCCGGCAGCTCGGGGGCAGCAACTACTTCGGAGCTTTCCGGCTCCGAACAGTCCGGTTCCAGTGGTAGAGGCTCGGCGGAAGATGATGGCGAGGACGAGGAAATCCGGATGATCAACGAGGGACCACTGCATCACCGAAACGGAGGAGCTGGAGCTGGCAGTGACGACGGCAGGATCTCGGATATATCGGTGCAAAATACCCAGGAGTATCTGGCTCGCTTAGGCATCGTAGATCACGATCCCAGTGGCGGCGGCGGAGGAGCTTCGAGTATGGCCGGCTCCAGTCACCCGATGCACATGTTCCACGATGACGATGCCACCGCCAGGTCGGATATCACGAACCTCATCTATGCCAAGCTAAACGACGTGACTGGAGCGGGATCGGAGCGCGGCAGCAGTGCGGATGATGCAGGGACGACAGCTGGTTCAATAGGCACCATCGGCACAGCCATCACCCATGGCCACGGAGTTATGGGCAGCTACGGAGAAGTGCCCGTCCCAGTGCCCGTCGTGGTTGGTGGCAGCAATGTGGGCGGCTCCCTGAGTTCCATTGTTCACAGCGAGGAGGAGCTTACCGGCAGCTACAACTGGGATTATCTCTTGGACTGGGGACCCCAGTATCAGCCGCTGGCCCATGTGTTTTCCGAGATAGCGAGACTGAAGGACGACACCATCTCCGAGCATAGTGGACACAGCGGCAGTGGTGCCAGTTCGTCCGCCAAGAGCAAGCACTCGTCGGGTGCGGGCAGTGTGGTGCTGAAGCCTCCACCCTCGGCACCCACTCACATACCACCCCCGCTTTTGACCAATGTGGCGCCTCGAGCGATAAACCTGCCAATGAGGCTGCCCCCCCACCTGAGCCTGGCTCCCGCTCACCTGCCCCGTTCCCCTATAGGTCACGAGGCAAGCGGTAGCTTTAGCACATCCTCAGCCATGTCACCGTCATTCTCGCCTTCGCTTTCGCCCTTGGCCACCAGGTCACCATCGATATCACCACTGGGAGCGGGGCCACCAACGCATTTGCCCCATGTCTCATTGCCACGACATGGCCACGCCCCACAGCCCAGTCAGCGGGGGAATGTGGGCACGAGGATGTAGGATGACCAGAAGTCCAGAAGATGTAAATGCATATAGTATTACTTGCACACACATACACAACACACACTCACCCTACACACACACACACCGCCCATTAACAATTGTTGTACATATACATATATCGCACACATTAAAATATTATTAGTTGGGATCGTGCAAGCACACAATGCCTCGCATGGCACTAGGAAATTACTTAATAAACTTCTATATTTATGGGCCTTGAAACTAATTAAATCAATTATAAAATGCTAATTTGATATTTAAAGAAATTCCAGCTTTGATCAACTAATGACAGGCATTATAAAGTAATAAAATAATTCAAACAGGTAGCAAAAACCTCTTCCAGTAGCCTGGCGGGGCCTTGGGTGCAGAGACGATCCCGGAGTAAAAAAAAACGAACGAAAGACCACAAAGCCAACATAGACTCTCTGAAACTCCTTTGCTTGCGCTCACAACAGAGCCGAAATAGCGAGGAGGAGCAGCAGCAGGAGCCGGAACAGCCATAAGTTGTAAGCATTTAGAGCCTAGAAATAGTAACCAACGAATAACTCCAACTCGAACCCGAACTCGAACCGAATTCGCTCGAATCTGTATCTGTATCTGTAGCCTAAGTATCCGTACGTAGCCTAAGTATCGCTGTAACTGTAGATGTAGCGTAGGACTCTAACCCTAAACTCGTTTTATGGGAGCAAAAGCAAAACCAAGTGCACTTAAGCAGCCGGCAATCCCTGTTTTAAAGGGGATCAGGCCATGGCTGCGATTCACATTTCCATTCCATCTCCATTCCATACACCGAGCAGTGAGAGAGACGAGCGGAAAATTGTAAAAAGTTGTTTTAGTAATCATTGTCCGGGGAGAGAAACAGAAAACAGAGCAAACTCTTCCTTCTTCTTGCTGTATAAAAACCGAATTGAACGAATAATAAACCAAGAAGGAGAGGGATTCGATGGAGGAATCTTTTAAGTATAGCCTAGTTACCAGTTATTATCATATTCATATATATAGTATAGACTTATGTACATGCCTAGCTATATAGAGTTTAGACCGTAGTGTTTATGTCCACTTGTGTGTGATGCTACTTGTGTAATTTCTTATGTTCTAGCAAAAAAACAAATCGAAAAAATAAATCTGTAAAAATGTTCACCAGTCTCTCTCTAAGGATCCTTTTAGCCCCTAAGCCCGCGATTAGTTTGTAATAGCGAAAAAAACGAAGAAAGCAAGAGAATAAATATTTAAAAACTGAAAAATATAAAAAATTACCCGGAATGTGTGATTAATTTGCTGCAAAAAATGAGGGAGTGGAGACCCCACGTGGGTACAATGGAGGGGTTTCTCCTTTTAGGAGTTTAAACAACTGGAAAAGGAAAAGTGCCAGGCACGCCCACGTGTCAGGCATTAAGAAAGAAGTGTATACACAGAGGAAAATATCTAAAGGTAATAAATAAAACAAGGAAAAGGTTCTAGAAAGTAGCTTATCAGATCTGGGTGAGATTTTCCCTCTAAATCCTTATTTTTTCAGTGATTTGCCCTGTGTAGTAGGTGGCAAAAGTTTCGGTGAACTCTTTAACTGCCATAACACATGAAAGAATCGGAAATCTTGAACTCCTGGATCCTATAGGCGGGGGTAACCTCCCAGCCTGCCTGCTCCTCCAGACACTCTGCAGACAGCCCAAGGAGATCCAAGAATCAGCAACCACAACAAGGCACAACAACAGATCGAGAACCGAGAACCGACATCCACTTTGTCTTCATTTCAAAGACGTTGCATGAACTCATTTATTTGTTGCTGATTTCTGGCCTGCACCACACCTCCGCCTTGACGCAGCCCGGCTCCCTTCCAGCGCCGTTGCCTGTCGTCATTATCATTATTTGCCTCAGTTCGAGGTCCCACCACCAGGTCCTCAGCAGTTCCAGCCTCAGTTTAAATCTCTGTGCTTGGGTCCCAGTTGAGTTATTTCCATTTGCCAGGCTTCGACTGTCCATGGACGACTCTCGCTCCGTATCAATTGCAGCAGATCAACAAAGCCAGCGCTGGAGAGCTGCTGAAATTTGTTTTTGTAAGCCTTTTTTCCATACCGTTTTGGCTAAAAAGGAGTATTATTTTTTAGGGTAGGGAATGTAATGGATTGGAAACTAAATAAAAAGGGGTTTCAAATAAAAATATTGAGTGTCCATTTTAAAATTGGAATAATTAAAGAAGAATTATAAATACCATTTATCAAAAAATATTATTAAACAATTATTATAGTTTTACACAGTATTTCAATAGTCGACCCTTTCAAGATCGCCACCTTTTTCCTACATATCTGTTGTTTTTTCGGTCACATTTCGCAGGAACGCGCTGTTCAGCGCTATCCTTACCCAGAAGGAGGGCATCTAAACGCTTGTGGTTATTATTAGTAGCAGTCAATTCATATTACAGCGAATACAAATAACGACGAAGCCACCTGGACGTCGATGTGGATGTGCATTGTCGAACCGCCAAGAATGGATGGGGGCTAAGAAACCAACTGGAAATAACAACGCAAATCGGGAGAGGCTAAGGATGAGGATGAGGACGATGACGACGATGATGATGATGATTATGATTATGGGTTGTTGGCGCTGCTGCCTAGGTATTCATTTGGGCTACGCACATTTTTTTTTGGGGTGTGTACACACACACACACTCCAGACACAAACAACAACAATCACGACGGAAAGTGAAAAGCCTTAATTTGTTATGGACTGAAAGCCGGGAAAAAGGCAAAAGGCTTACGGGTTAAGCCCAAGTCATGAAATGCACAGAGAAAAATGGTTTTTGATACTATCATAGTATGGCAAACTAAACAGACAGAACTTCCAATCAACATAAAACAAGGATCGGACTTGTTATCTTTCCTAAAAATGCTCCGACTCTCACATAATGAAACAAAGAACAACTTAAACTATTACCAGTATCAAAGTATTTCCTTTTCGCTTTGTAAAATTATAATTTCTAAAATAAAATGTAGGAATTTATTACTATTTCTTGCTGTGTGAACTTAGTTTTAAGCTGTTGTTCTGATCTGGGTTTATTTTTAAAGCCGTTTAAGTGGCTCGCCAAGTATGCGCACGTAGATCGAACCCTTGGCATTGTTCTAGGGCCAAGCATTTTTCACTCGGCCTGTCAAATCGCGAGGCTTCGACAGCTCCACCAGAGAGCCCTGCCCACTGTCAGAGGAGCACCACCATCACCACCAACCAAACCACCAGGTGATGCCGGAGGAGCAAGTGGAAGTCGAAGTGGAAGTGCAAGTGCTGGGATTCTCCTCTGATTGCAAAATAAGTGATTTGCGGAATGCGTGTTAAGGCTCAATTCAAGTTGTTGGATCTCCAAAGAGCCTCTCTCTCTCTCCTTCTTTCGGACTTATGTTTTTATAATTTGTCAATACATCAAGCTCACAATAAAGTGATTACACTGCCCAGGAGGAGGAGGAGAAGGAGGAGGAGGAGTTGGAATCCCACATATGAAATTCAAAATGAAATACAATAATAATTTTATTCCGACGCGAACGGCTCGCACTCTGATGAGCAAATTAAAGCTGCAGCAGAATCGCAGAAAACCGAGCGAGAGATGGCCATCATCGCGGATTCTCATCCGCCTCATCTGCAGAAGAATTCTTCCAGAGGCGCGCTTCTGCGGCTTAATAACAATTCCATTAGCGGCTAATGTCTTCATTGCAAGTGTCAGTTATGGGGGCGCACCAGGCAGGGGCGTTCGGCCAAGGGGATGACGCTAAACTGACTGGACGGGCACGGCCCCAGTCGCCATCCCCAGCACCATTCAAACCCCAATCCAATCCGCCGTCATCACGGATGAACTCAGCGATGGTTCAAAGGTACACCGGGAAAAAAATTCCTACAAATTCTATCAAGTTCTTAAAACAAATAGTAAATTAAGCATTAATAAAATTTAAAAAAAATAAGAACCAAAAATAAAAAATAAATAATAAAATTAAAATGATCTATATTCAAAATTGATGTAAATCTACCAAAGTTCTTTATTAAAATATTTTTCAGCTTAAAAAATTTTATTTCTTTACAAAAATAACACAGTTAAAGGTTTTATTTGCCAACTCTATTCACAAAAAACTATGGTTATATGGTTATAAAATGCTAATATTTTCTAAAGGTGCAGAATTATGCCTGCCAGAGTCTCCTCAAACCGCCCCGGATCTCAATCCTGCCTTCCCCCTGGTGCCACCTGACCATCTCCTTCTCTGGCTTCTGCCTCTCATCTTGCATGTCAGTTTAACACTTTTGAATCCTTTGAAGTCTCGGGCCCCGACTGCGTTTTATTGTCCAAAGTTATGGCAATGGCAATGGCAATGGCTGCACTAATAAGCTCGTTTCCCTTCGTTTTTTTTTCCCCTCCCGGCTTCGAGACTTCCTTTGAGCCTAAATCCAATTCCAGCTCCGATTCCCATTCCCATTCCCACTCCCATTTCCAGCCCGATTACGAACAGCATCATTGGCATTAGCATTCACAAGTGGCCAACAAATGCGAAAATAATTGCTGCCACGAAATAAATGCAGGAACAAGGGCCAGCCAGAAGGGGAGTGCCTGGAGAGTGTGTGTAGTGGAAGCCAATTGCTGGCCATCGCTAATTGCCGGGCTTGATTGGAATGAATCGGAGCAGAGCAGGAACACAATCACAATAAACCCCAACCAAAGAACAGAAGAAGATTTTACGAACCTCCTGCGGCTGCTTTCTTCTGTTCCCGCCGAGCTCCCCAGCAGGCCATTTCCGCTTCCGCTTAGAGATGTGGGAGGAGCTGCAGGAGGATAAAGCCGCTCCATTGAGTGAGAGATCACTGAGAGATCGCAGATCACAGATCCCCAAATGAGCTGCATCAAAGGTCGGCTAGCCGACAGCCCCCAAAAAAAAAGAAAGAAAAAGAACAACAATAAAGAAGAAAAGACGCCAAATGTAACTCGATACGTTTGAGGACTGCACTGGCGCCGCCGCCGCCGCCGAAACAAAACGAGGACAGCAATGAACCCACCAAAGATGAGGCCATCCTCCGTCCACTGTCCAATGTCCAAATCGCAGCCAAAAAGCTTGTATTTCAAACAGTTCAGGAGGAATCAAGAATCGGGAATCCATTAGAGACTGACAAGCGAACGCCGCATAATGGAACAAGCACTGTTTGCGGCCATAATGGCAATAGAATCATCCAACCAACCAGCCTTCCTTCCATCCATCCATCCATCCATCCATCCATCTATCCATTCCACTCAAACTCCAACTCGAATCCAATCCAATCCCAATACTTGCAACAAAAGGTAGCCATTAAAATATAATAATAGTTGTTCTTTTTCAGCTGCTTTTTGAAGGGTGCACTGGGGAAAAATTAGAAACCCTATCCATAAGAGTGAATTTTATAAGTTTTGGTGAAGAATATAAAATAAAACAGTCTCTAATTGGTGATAATTCAAGAAAAACCATTAATAGATTTTGTAGAAACTAAAATAACTAAAGATAAAACAAAGTTATAGATATGAAAAACAAGAATCAAGTTTATAAAACTCTAAAATAATTTTTACAAATTAATATAGAAAATTTCCCTCTGTGTGATGATCAGCAACAACAAAAGGAGAAGCATCTGCTCCGGCTGCTGCTGCTACTGCTACTGTGGCCAAACAATTTGGACACACACCGGCAAAAGCGATGATAGAATCTCATAATGCCGCGCGGGATAAGGAAAGGGATAGAGGTGGCTGGCTGCAGGCTAACGTCAAAGCCAAACAAGAACAATCTATCCAAATGTCCATCTATTGAGCAGATAAAGCTGCATCCATCTCATCCGCATCCGCATCGGATCCCGCTTTTCCTTCGCCTCCTTCCCTTGGGGATTTGTGTGAGCTTACACTTTGCGCCAACTACAAACGGCGGCTGATGAAGATTAGCCCGTCTCCTGTCTGCCGGCACCACCCCCTGCAAAATCTCCTCTAGGCTACTCCTTGGCCTCCTGTCGATGCCTTGACATTGATGTGCCACCAACAGCATCAGCATCAGCTGCAGCAGCAGCAGCAACATCACAACAAGCGAAGCCATTTTTGCTGCCATTGTTTTGTCGCTTCCATTTGGGTTTTTTGGCTTGGAATCTTGGAATCCACGCTTTTTTGTTTTCGGTTCGGTTTTGGATTTGAATTGTTGCGCTGGCTCGGTGGTGTCCTTTTAGCATCAAGAGAGATTTGCATTTTATCGCATTTTCGGTCGGCAGCGGATGTGTC